AAACAGTCCTAAATAATGCAAAATTAGACATATTGACGGCAGTGTGACTTTTGGATTTGGATCTGGAGAAGTTGTGTCCGTGTAAATTTTACACCGTTTCGGGAAAACATGCTGTCTCCGTCTTCATGGTTCAATAAAGTAACGTTAAAATGTTGATGGACAAAGGATCGGACCAGGGAACACACTGAGACTGGCAAACCATGGTCATGGGTCCCAACTGCTTGGCAAAGCATCTCTGTCCAGCGATTCCTAGCACGCATCTGATTATCAATGCATCAGGAAAAGACCAGGGCACCTATTACTTGCTAGAATTAGCAGAAGAAATAAATTGCTTATAACGTATCGTATCGTAAAACTCCAATAACTTAAGGGCGTTGTACTTCTGGTTGGCAGTAATTAGCAGTCATGGAATGGAAGTTGAACTGAAAAAAGCCTCGTCGTAACGGGGTCTGTCGGTGGGCGTCACAGATAAAGAGTTAGTAGAGAGCCTAGTCTGTTTAAAGCAGGCAGATATGTAAGCACATACATGAATACATATTGCAGCACTTCATTACGATATTACTGTAAATATTCTACGCAAATATTTTTGTAAGTGGGTATGTTGCCATGGAAATATTTATTGATAAATACTGAAAGAAAAAGTGGCCGTCAACTGTTTCAGCACTTCGCTTAGCTCGAGGTGATAAAGATGTGAAACTCAAGCAGATCACTTCGTTACTTTTGTATTTATTTATAAAACTATTTGACATAATTTATTAATGAGGTTCTTCATTCCTTATAAGCGACAATCATCAGCATTTTACCAAAGAATATTCCGACAGAAACATACAACATTCACAGTTTTGTAGTTATTTTCTAACATCTCATCGTACGAAGATACAACAGCTGATTTGAATTTACGAATTTTAGTTGTTAGTCACTACATTATGCAGAACAAAGAATCCTTTACGGAGAGAACTTTGTTGGTCTTCCTGTCATTTGCAGTTATATATTATTTCCTTCGAATGCCAATGTCCATACATGAAGTCAGTGTATATCCACCCAGTATCTCTTGTGTTTAGTATTTATTCACTTATTCAAAATGAGTTTTAAGAATTAGGCCGATTTTGTCCCCATTAGAACTGCTTCTGTTAATATATCTTTGTACTAAACTTTTTTATCACTTGAACATCATTCTCCTGTAGTCTGAAGAATGTACCTACTGTCAAAAAACCTGTAATTCCTCTCTCCTTTCGACCTCTAAATGTAACCCCTTACTCTCTACCTCATAAAACGCTTTTCAACAATTGAATTAGTCGTGTTATTGTACGATTCTCTGAAACAGATCTTTCCACGGTCTTACGCAGTTTCGAATACAATTAATTTTGACAAGATTCTATTATACAAGTATTCCGTTACATTTATTTTACTTAATATTCCGATTCTTATTTTAAGTACGACATGTGACAGCCTAACAAACCTTCTGGTAGCAGAACCCAAAGGTTCAAAACCTCTAATTCCAGTGCCACCACGGGTCTCTATCCTGAACAAATTCCATTTTCTTCATCCCACAACCTACGTCCAAATGCTATTCTGTTGTCTCCATTTTCCAAGTCGCCGCTTACGAAAAGACCACCTCACCAAAACCTTATACCGCTAATTCTTTATTTTATCGCCAAAGCAAACTTCATGTCCGATCTACTGCAACCTCCTTGAAGATTGACTGATCGCCATGTAACCCAGTAATCTGCTCTCGTCGACCTGATGATGGAGGCAGCAAGGACCTCTGAAACGTCGGTAAACTTCTACTAGACTACACTGAGCTGGAATCCAGAAGACAGCCATCTTAGTACCCCGTGAAAATCTCAAATCCTACTCTTTGAGGTATTTCATACAACAGATAATTAAGTTCATCGGCGTGTTCTATCATTCGAGTCTTCGTCACTGTAACGTTATTAATTCAATAATCATAAATCTGTAAAGTAATATGTCTGAAAGCAAAAGATTTTAAAATAAAATTAGGACTCAATTAACTCGGTTTTTTTTTTTCAATATATGAAGTTCTCTTACTGGATCGTATTTCTCGACTCAGTAATTCAGACTCGCAACTTTGCAGTGGCAGGCGCGTTAGCCTGCGAACGCTTATCTGCATTCAGTAAACGTATCCAAGAAATGGAACAAGCCAACTACGTACGTTCATTATTTATCGCTAATATTATTTTCAGACCACATCTGAACAACTGCCAGGAAAGCAGACATTCTGACAGGTATATAAAGGTAAAATGACGAAGAATAGCATCTCAGTGGAAATAAGTAGTAACAAAAGAGGAATGTTACTATTTTACACATATTTTTTTGTGAGAGGTCTAATTAGTGTCGGTTCCCTTACATGGTTTAAGAGAGAATCAAAAAGTGAGCGAAAGCTTTTCTGATGACGTACGGATAATAGTGCTTTTCTGTTTCCTTTTCGTGTTCTTTTCTTTACAGATATGCCATCTTAGACAAATAAATTACATTCAAATGAGGTATTTTAATTAATTAAAATCTACATATTTTTATGCAATGATAATTTTATTAAAACTCTCCCGTGTTCAGATTCTTTTCAAACGACGAATGACGTGTGCGAAATCTTGAATTTTATATGGCCAAAACTTTAATTCATGTAGACTCTTCAAGTTACATCTATTTCACGGCTTCCCGAGAAGCAAACAGTTCTTAAGTTGAGCCAGAAATTCGTCGGATTATGAAACCTGGAGGATCATTATCGTGTTCACAACAGTCCGCCAAAAGTCTTATCCTTAGCCAGATGATTCCAATCTACACCCCCACATACAACTTATTCAAGCTCTGTCTTAATATTCCACAAGTGACCTCTTCCCGTAAGAGTTTCTAACTAAAATATATCCCAGCAACGAGAGACAGCATTACGAATTGCATCGTTAGCTCATTCCTTCCACTTTGCTTCGACCACTCTGTGTTGCAGAAGCATGTACAAGAGTATATTTCTTCATAACACGGGTAATACTTACACCAATCTTACGAGATACACAAGAAAATACGTCTAGAACTTAATGACACTGACTATCAGTTTCAGTATTCTGTACACTTCGTCTATAAGAAACCATGAACGCGACCATGATATACCTTTGTAGCGATCTAACCTGACATCAGTGTTATCATTTGTAGGAGCTGGAAAATCGTTCTTATGTTGTGGCTGAGTACTATTACGGTTGGAGTGACTTGATGTATCGGTGGACGTTGTAAATACAATAAATTTGTTTCCTCAATGCGTTGTTACTCAAAGTATGCCAATAATCTCAGCTGGTAGCTCTCTGCTGCCAAACGAAGACCATGGAAAGTGCCACGCAGAATTGAAAATTGCTCCAACTACTGTAATAATTAGAGCTGTCACACGATACTCAGTTCATTAATCTTTTTCTGCTTTCATTCTTTCACTATTTCTTCACGCATTACGCCATTCATTCTGCACCATCGGAATAGAAAGTTCAACTTGCATTGAAGATACATTTTATTTATATTGCTGCCACAGGATATATTTATTATAAGGCCACGTGTAATTTATCTTCCCACTGAATATGGTCTAAAGTACAGAGTAAAGTAGACCTAAGGGTTTTTATTTCCTGTTGTTTTATATTTTTTTAATGGATTAAATAATCTTGATAAGTGACGCATTTATTAATGCATTGTTACTAAGTTCAGACGTATGTATTCTAGTGAATGACATAAATCTTCCGGGGACAATTTTGTTTAGCTATAAAATTTCGATTAAATGGTGATCGATAATATATGATGCACACCTTTTTCCATGCCGGATACCTAGTACAAATTTCTGCACATCCCTACGTTACGTAAAAACGATAAACCATTATCAGGGTGATGAAGGTAACAAACACTTCTGAAATGTGTGTAATCGCCTACCAGGCTACACTGCGCAACAACCCAGAAGACAGACATCTTCTTACCATCGTAAAAACCTGAAATGTCACTGAAAATAATATATATCCAAGATAAATTGAGAACTTTTAGCACAAAGGAATAAAACTGTAACAACTAGGTTTCAAAAAGAGTGAACCGACTCGAAAAGAAACGGAAACAAGTGTTGAAAAGAGAGGTTGTGATAAGACGAAAGTGCATCGTTAAAAGAGGAACGAACTTCTGCATAAATTAAACTCACTGAAATCGTTGTATCAACCAAATTACTTACCATTTTTTATATTTTCTTCAAATGTTAATTAATTGACAAAATCATACAGGAAGTCATTAGCCTATTTATTTTTATTTGTAGTGTTCTGTCTGACGACAGGTCCATATGAACAGGATCCTTCCATCCTTTTCTCGGACTGGGACCTGTTCATATACGTTCTTGGCAGATGATCCAGAAGTGGTTTGCCATTGCCTTCTTCTGTGTGTGAGTGGAGTAATTGTTGGGATGCCACGGAGAAACCGGGGAAGCCCCCGGAGGAAAACTCCGCGATGCCTAGACCACGGCTTTGCCCAACACAAGTTATAAATTTGAGCACCACCGGGAATTGAACCCGGGACCCCAGGATTACAAGGCCAGTGTTCTGACCGCTAGACCACCGTGGCGCATTAGCCTATACGTTTAACTAAATTAAATATCATCTGTTAATAATTATGTCATAATTGATTCAATTCAGTACAGGATTTTTTCACATATCCAGAATAAGAACGTATTCAAGATAGGTTTTTCTCTTATTATTGTTAAGACTAATTTTGGAGTCTTGGGACAAATTATCGATATATAGAAACGTAAATATTTGTCTCCGGTTGCACCTTAAGTGTTCGCAGGCCATTTATAGAGCAAGGAATTATACATCCACGCAAAACGCAAACCTAGTTGACCCAAAGTCGAAGCATCACATACATGCCGCACAATGGTATTGGTGGGGTAGACAAACGAAACATTTTTCGTCCTTAAGACGCTGTTCAAATTTCATGCTTTGGCAAACAACTCCCACAGCGCAGATTTCTGTACTCACCATTGAGTGGCCCAAGTATTCCGCTGCATTGTCAGAGATGTAGAGTAACTTGCCGTTCTGCGTCATCATCATAAGGAAGCCACTCAGAGCCTGCAAGAATATCAGCAGAGATCAGAAACAGGAACAATACAATTGCGGGCAGTTGTACTCTTAAAATGCACATCCAGAACGTCCATTTCTCTTCAATAAAATCCGCAACCCCCTTATACTGGAGAATGCAATAAGGACAACAGCCAAGCCCGCATTTAGGAAGATAGTGTTTAGCAAACGCAGTAAGTAAAGTCCCTTAACCCTTTGAAGCCGACACTCATCTACACAATACTTAAGAATTCAGTCACTAACCTCAAAGACATTTGAGTCAATACTGTTTAGGAAAATAATTTATGTTTGCTTTGATGATCATACAAAACCAATAACTCATTCTACTGGCAAAATGCAAAGCTAGACTGCTGATTATTAAACAGGTGTTACATATAGTTACCATCGGGCTTTACAGGGTTAACGATAAGATGTACTTATTAATTTCGTCTTGCTCAATGTCGTGATATTACAATAATAAATGTCTTAAAATGATGTTAACTATTTTTATCAGTATTATTATTAATAATATAGCATCACTTTAATCTAGAATAAGCAAACTCAGGAATTTATTTATTTTATAGTTGGTTACAAATGTATTAAGATGGACTGTGCTTCATAAAATTAGTGTATTAATATGTTTAATGCAGTACTACACCATTACTTCGAGCCCACTGTAACTGACAACTTCCTACACGTATGTTACAAGCTTTTATTTTCATTATTGACACTTCAAACATAGATTACAGTTCATCTTCAGTATGTGCAAAAAATGTGGCAATTGACATTTCATTGAAAGAAGAGATACCTGATAACACCGTCAACACAACAATACGAAATAAGAAGTTATAGGAATCAAGTGATTTTCTCACTTCCCTTCCAATGTTTCAGTCCACATCATTAGGTTTCCGCGAACTATAAATGGTCGGACAGAAACCATAAATCGTATCAACTTATAAGACCTCAAACAACGTGAACAGAAAATGCATTTTCTTCTATTTACCTCCAGCTCAGTTGTGAAAATCTCTCGCTTCTGGCTTACCACGATAGTAATAGTTTAAGAGCTCGTGGTGGAATATGCATAAGAGTTTTACAAGTATTTTACAGTTTTTATTAATATTTTCTCTCTGAAACAAGATTTAGAGTGAGTTGTTGTAATTTTATGAGCTGTTCTCTGACTGTATCAAAGCACAACGACGTTATATGACGACCTGCTGTGTTCATGATGTAGCATAAACTATCGTAACAACATTATTTCAAGCAACGAATAAAGATGTAAATTGTCAGACGTTGCATGGGAACTTTCTTGATAATCATGAAACGAAGTCCATAGAGCACATTCCTGTTTGAGAAAGCAATAGTACGATCAGATAGTTAAGAAATTCATTGCCTTTCTTTTGAAACCCTAAAGATCACAAGAGACAGCCACCGGTTCCTATACCAGCCAGATGAATCCAATCAAACTCTTTGTAAAATAAGATACACTTTGAAGATTGATGTCTTCTGGGTTGTTGCGCTGTGTAGTCTGGTCGATGTT